TATAATGTTACTACCACACCCAAGATAAATATGACCAAAGGGAAAAAAATCTGACCAAGGAGAAATATCACAAATCACTGCCCTCTGTACAATTTAAGACTCACTGAAATCTACACTCAACTAGTCTACTTATCGGCTACCAGTACTTTCAGGAATTTCCTATGACTAGACAGCACATTCTTGGGTAAAAAGATGCTTCCTCTGAGCAGGGAAGTTAAATGTTAAATACCTGACCAGAAATGTTTCCAAAACTAAGGCTAACTCTCTCAGCAAAGAAAAATCCACACAGGTAATTCAGGCTCATTTTGATGTAGGAGTCTGTGGAGAGAGATCTGAACAAAATTCCAAAACTAGGAAGTCATTGCATTTTCAGGCGCTGATTTGAGGCGAAAAAAAAAAGCAAAAGGCCTTTTTAGGGGTGGGGGGAGTGCGATGGGGGTTGGGGTAAGTCACCTAGAGTGAGCCCAGAAATAAGAGGGGAATAAAAAAGCTAAAAAATCAGATTGATCTAGGCTCTAATGCACTGGTAGATGTAGATAGAATTCTTTAAAACCTGATTACCTTTCACATTATATAACATTTCAAAATTTTTATCATATAGGATATCTTGATAAGAGCCGAACTAAAGGAAGAGAGAATAATAAAAGAGTGAGAGAATAGGAGAGAAACAGAGGCTAAATTCAATCAAATGACGTATTAAGACCAACCCAACTACTTATTTGAATATTTTTAAAATTCTAATATTTAGAAAAGAAGAGGATATGTCTGGACTAAATCTAAGAACTTTCTTTAGGATGGCATGTACAATGATAATACAATTATCCCTATTACAACTACCATTTATTGAACATTTATAGAACAATATGCAGGTGTCACTGTGCACTTTTAGCTACCATTTCAATTAATCCTTAAAATAACTAGGTGACCATTATCCCTTTTTGCAGTTGAGAATACTATGGTTATGAGCTTAAGTATCTTGTCTGCAATCACACAGAAAGTAATTCAGTCACAAAAGAGACTAATTCAAACCAATTCTGTCAAATACAAAATATGTCTTCTTAGTTATTATATTGATAGTTTTTAGATAGGTCACCTTGTAATAGCAGCCAGTTTTTTTGTTTATGTCCTAGGATGACCAAGAGAATATCAAAATAATTCAAGTCATTTTATTTCTTAGTGGAAGGTTAGATTTTCCCTGTTTTCTAGAGCACAAATTTAGTAGTTATAGAACCTTCACATAAATTCAGCACTTGGTACCCTCACTTTGCCATAGAGCAC